CCCCTTCTCTTCCCCATCCCATGCCCCTTCCCCACTGCTCCATCTCCTCCACATCCCACCCCCTTCTTTCCCTCCTGCCTCTTTCCCCCTGCCCCTGCTTCCCCCATCCCTTTCTTTTCCCCATCCCATGCCCCTTCCCCACTGCTCCATCTCCTCCCCAGGCTTGCGGGGCAGGGGGTAAACCGCCACCCAGCACGAGCCAGCGGAGCGGAGCGGGTTGGGACTGGGTCGCTCCACTTCCTGCCACCCGGTGATTGCAGGGTGGGCCCGACCCCGCACTCACGGGGCGGGGGGAAGTGGAGTAACCTGGCCCCTGCCTGCTCTGCTCTGCTCCCCTGGTTCCCAGCCTTGGGACTTGCGGGGTAGGGGGGAACTGCCCCCTGGCACTCACCGGTGGCACGGCTAGGAGCCAGGGGAGTGGAGCGGGCTGGGGCCGGGTCACTCCACTTCCCACCACCTGCTGAGTGCAGGGTGTGCCCAACCCCTGCTGCAGTCCCCCGGGACACATAGCTTAGGGGAGGGGATGGAGTGGGGGTGGGGCTGGTGCGGAGCAAGGCTGGGAAGAGGTGGGGCGGGGGCAGAGCAGGGGCGGAGACAGCTTTCCTGGCTGGCTCAGCTGGCCGGGTGATTGGGCTGGCCGGGGCCCCTTCTGAGTCTGGGCACGGCGCCACGGCGCCACTGGCGCCATCGTAAGCCCGGTACTGCTTCTTCATTGTGAGGTAATACTCTCGGTTGGCTTCTGGGTAAGTGACTTTGGCGAGAGGTAACTTGTAGATGGCAGAGATGTTTGTGGTTATTAACAGAAAGGTGAGTGCAGACAAGCAGAAAGGCCAGGTAAACGCCGGTAATCCGAACTGAAAAGAAGAGAATATTCATCATTTTAATCATTCTGGGACCCTCCTTAACTTAATCCTCCAGCCTTAAACATAATTCAAAACTAGGAGGTCTGCGATGAGCCTTCTCAGAGGAGTCTTGTTTCCCAAGTGGGTAGCTGCCTTTTTCCTCTATCTATCGGGGATCGATAGATAGAGGGATCAATTTATTGCGTCTCGTCTAGACGTGATAAATTGATCCCCGAATGCGCTCCCCGTCGACTCCGGAACTCCACCAGGGAGAGAGGCGGAAGCGGAGTCGACAGGGGAGCCGCGGCCATCGATCCTGTGCTGTGAGGACGGGAGGTAAGTCGATCTAAGATACGTCGACTTCAGCTATGCTATTCCCGTAGCTGAAGTTGTGTATTTTAGATCGATCCCCTCCCAGTGTAGACCAGGCCTTAGTGTCTTCAGCTGTAAAATATGGCTAATGAGCCCTACCTTGCAGAGATATTGAGGGATGATTAGTTCATGTAGGGCCTGCACTTTGAAGATGAAAAGTTCTAAGTTATTTATAAAATATTTTAATGAGCAGTGCAACTGTCCCATGTGGCAAAGCCTGTTCCCGCTTTGGTGGAGTTCAGGGATGCCTTCTCAATGGGATGGGATGGCTCTGTATATATAACCTGTTTATACCACACTGGAGATTAGGAAACTAAATAGCGAGGATTTAAATCTGTTTTCAGAAACATATCTCACTTCCCTATTAGTTGGCCATAAGCTATTAAAAACTTACCACAGAAAACATATTGGCCACAGTTGCTCCCAGATAGGCACAAAAGAATGCTGCGAAAAGACAGACAGACAATTCCTGGTAAATAAGATTACTCACAGCACTGAAGAAACGAGTAAGGACAGCGGTCTTGGGCAAGCCCTGCCACTGCACTTTACAGCCCCCTCGTCCTGTCTTTCATGAGAGCATAAGGATTAGTCTCATTTTGAACTCTCCTTTTCACTAGGGTGACCAGACTGCAAGTGTGAAAAATCAGGACAGGAGGTGGGGGGTAATAGGAGCTTATATAAGAAAAAGACCCAAAAATCGGGACTGTCCCTATAAAATCAAGACATCTGGTCACCCTACTTTTCACAGAGAGTGCGTGCTCCTTCCAACCATGCAAAAGGCACAATAGGTCATGCCCAGCAATAGAAATGAAACAATGAAAAGATCTGATCTACCTGGATTTCAGGAAAGCAGTCCCACATGGGGTATTATTAGTTAAATTGGAGAAGATGGGGATTAATAAGAGAATTGAAAGGTGGGTAAGGAACTGGTTAAATGGGAGTCTACAATGGGTCATGAACTATCAGGCTGGAGGGAGGTTACTAGTGGAGTTCCTCAGGGATCAGCCTTGCCACCAATCTTATTTAACATGTTAATTAATGACCTTGTCTCAGGGTCTCAACTGACCACTGTATTTGGGATCGGAGGAATTTTCCCCCAGGTCAGAGACACTGGGTTTTTTTTTCACCTTCCTCCGTAGTGTGGGTCACTTGCTGGTTTGAGTTACTGTAAATAGTGGCTTCTCTGTAACTTGAAGTCTTTCAGGATTTCAGTAACTCATCCAGAGGTTATGGGCCTATTACAGGAGTGGGCGGGTGAGGTTCATGAGGTGACCAGGAGGTCAGACTAAATGATCATGACGGCTCCTTCTGGCCTTAAAGTTTACAAGTCTAAGAGTACGACTGTGGAAAGAGAATACTTGGAAATTGCAAGGATGCACCTTGAAGGCTGGTATGGAAAGCACTGTATCTCTTCTGTCTTTAGACACAACCAGACTATAATGTGAGCCAGTGAAGAAATCAAATCTCATTTATTGAATGAGCAAAGGGTCCATTCTGAAATCTATATGATGCGGATACACTGACACCTGACATGGAATTGCTTTATAAAAGCATTTCTGAAAGAACTCTGAGCTAACTCACAATTCCACTCTGCATTTAAATAGGGATAGTAAGTTGTGCAATGTAGTTTCAGGTAGAGACGGATCTGAAGCAGCCTGGTACTGATCGTCTCCAAAGTTTAGGCATGTCCATATCTGGGGAAATATTTTGGGTCCATCCCTAGTTTCAGCTATACCAGCATGATGTGTTGAAGAGCATTGAACAGGCACATTTTATACATCAAAACATCTATCCATAAGTCACAGAGTCATTAGGTAAACAGCTCTTGAAAGATGTTTCTTTTGGCATGGCTGAAGGCAAATGTATTATTTTTGTTTTGACAGCATAAATTAGAGGGATCAACACCTCTGACGGAAATAATCTTCAGCCTCGCCTAAATTCATCCTCAGACCTAGCTGTGAACTTTGTGGCTTCACGCCTCTCTAGTACAAAAGCCTCCTGTATTTTCGTTTTCAGAAGGAATGACCCCAGAAATGGACCTCATCAGGTACATACCACAGGCAATTGCTAGCAGGTGGGTCTGCCATGTCAGAGCATAGAACATGCCCCCGATAGCGATGCATGCGAGGCAACTGTTGTAATTCCACAAGCCAGCGTAGATATTGCTAAAAGGTGCTGCTAGGCTCAGTGCTGTAAAGGAAGTCAGAAAAATCTCACTGCTGGGCTTAAGGGATAAAAGACACGAACTGGAATGAATCAGACTTGTAAAGGATTAGCAGGTATCACTCCCAGTAGGCCAAGCTCTGATTTCACTCCCACTGGTGTAAATCCAGAGTTACTCCACCAAAGCCAGTGGAGTTACTCTGGACTTCCTTGGGGTGACTGAGGACAGAATCCCTGTCTCTATGACCTCACTGGAAGTTGATGAATGAAGGCAGGTTTGGATTGTGAGGCCCAGATTCACAAAGGTATTTAAGCACCTAACTCCCAGGGGAAGTTAGCTATGTAGGTACCTTTGTGAATCTGGACCTAAATGCTTTCCCAGCAGCCCTACATTTCAGAACCACAGAAATCTCTTGTTCTTTGCACAGCTGGTCAAAAAGGTCGGTCTATTTCTTGAACCTTTTTTTTGTTTTATTTGAACTATACCACAAAATATATTTCATGTTTTCAATGAAAAATTTCTAAACAAAATTAAAAAAAAGACATTTGAAAAATTGTGTTTCATTTTGGTGTGTAAAAATCATTTGTGCGCTCTCTCTCGCTTGTCTTTTTTTTTTTTTTTTTTTAACTTTTTAACTGTTTCG